ACAGCAGCTCGCTGTGAAAGGGCAGCTATGGCATAATGTCTTGTTCAAGGACACCTCGACGGGAGTTATGCTGTTACAAGAGTCAAACCTCTCGCATTTCCATTATTGGAACGCCGATGTAATCACCGGGCAGACATGCTGCCCACCCTGTTGCTGCAGGACAGATATAAAGAAATCTACCTGTGGTAACAAGATGAAGTTATAGAGAGGAAAGGAGCGGGGTGAGGCAGGTTGCTCATACAGCTAACTTTAGATTCTCACAATGATGTTTGCCGGGGGCCAGATTCCCCAAAAAACAGTTAATAAACCATGACTCACTGAAACGTTCTCTCTGAAAGTGGCAGGATAGAGACCAGGCAGGCAGAAGTAAGGGAGGTTATATCATATTAGAAGTGTTATCAATATTGATTGTCTTCCTTGCTCGGAGAAGTTGTAAGAGCCTCATTTTCATGACGCCAACAGGAGGAGACTCTCAATGAGCAAGATGTCTTACTGACTACAAGAATGAATCGTACATTGCACGTTTTAAAAATAAATGAAGTTGTTTTTAGAGCAACCAAAGTTTATGATCTTTCAAAAAAGCACTAAAGAATTTACTGATACCATCATACAGATCTTCTTCTTCTTGCTCCTTGTTGACCATGAAAGGTATATGACATTCAATCAGCTGATTAGATTCACTTTTTGTGTAAAGGTCTGTGTTGGAGGTTCTTGCACCTAAGTGATTTAATTTAATATCTAAAACTCTCTCCTGAGAAATGTTTCATGACTCTAAAGAGACTATTTTTTGGTGGGATTCTTAGGCCCTTTTTTAGGTATTTCCAAAGACAGAAAGCAGTCAAGGTACCCCGCATTCTGCTCAGCATTTGTATAAACACTCTGATTTTCTTGTTTGGATTTTCTCCAAATGTCCCATTTTTTCTCTGTCCTAACATTCCGTGGTGTTTAAACTAAGAGGTGAGGAGAGGGTCACCAAGTGTCTGTGGGACCAGCACAATCAGCTGAACTCTAATCTCATCAATTTCCCAATGCCAATATTGAATTTATTAATCTTCTGTGCAGACACTTGTAGTCACACCATTTTCCCTGCCAACTCTCGAGGAGCACAAGGAGGCCTTGTGTACAGACATTTCACGAAGCCAAGGCACATTTCATATTTATTTTTTCTTGTTACCATGGCGACATTATACTCTAGGGGAGATAGCAGGCTCATATACAGTCTTGGGATGCAAATCCCATCGTTAAGCCTTGCAATTGAAAATGCAAACACATTCAGGATGCAAGACATGTCTAAAACACTCACCAACACACAAAACACATTAGACAATGTTTGGAGTAGATATTCTTGACTTATTTGACACTTTTTAACAATTTAAAATAAGCCTTTTCAATTAGGTTTGAGATAAATCAGTCAATACCCTTTTAGCATTATCTGGTAGCTTTATACATCATTATTTCTGCCAAAAGTTGGAAGTGTTTTGTTTTCTCTCCATTTCTGTGGTTTGCTTGTCTCTTCATGTGTTGGGTCATATTCGTATATTTTGAGAAAATCCATATTTTATAGATGGATTTCCAGAGAACAAGACAACACAAAACAAAAACAACAAACAGGGGGCTTTGTAGAATGCTTGGTAATGGGGCGAGAAAGAACTCATTAACTTTTCACACTGTTTGACCAACAGAGGGAAGTGGCGGCTGACACGGCTCCCCAAGGAACACAGAACTTTCTAACAGATTTACATAACAACCACAAACTTTGTGGGGCAAACAACAGATAGCAAAACAGGAAAACAACTTCAATCACCATGCCAACCAACAAAAAGCATGTCCTGGATAGCAATTTATGGTTTGGAAATAAGTATCCTGACAATTGTTCCAAACCTGGGTAAAGTGGCAGTTAAATAGCAGCCTTGATGGCAGCTGAAGGGATTCAGAGCTGCAGGCAGTTTTAAAGACTCTGAACAGGAACATGTCATGTCCAATTTCAGATTCAACCGTGATAAAGTGAGCATCCCTTGAAGTCCAGTCACATTGCTGCTGAATACAGGAACATTTGGTTCTAATGGCAAAATGTTCCTTTTCAATCATATGGTGAAATGGTGTTCACTGAAACATTTGGTAGGCAGCATATGTTGGAACCAATCACAGATGCAATGGTGAATTGAGGGCAAGCAGGTCGGTGAAACATTTAATCTTTTACCTTAGTGTTCTTATATTTCCTCCACTTATTCTATGCTAAGAACTGTATTGATTTGGTAAGCTCTTGTGTCTGCTGTTATTCAGAAGCAGACATAGGCTGTCTGAGAGGAAGGGGTGAAGAAAAAAGCACCGGTTGAATGTGTTTGGGGCACTGGCACACACAATGCTTTCTAGAAGGCAAACTATATGGCTGAATCAAGTTTTCTGTACTGGAAGGTCACCTTACAGAGCACTGAATCAACTTCTCCCAACTGGGAGGGCACCAGAAGGTGCTAAATCAAGCTTTCTCCACTGGAAGGGCATCATAGAAAGTAGGGCTGTGCAATTAATCATATTTTAATCGCAATTACGATTTTGGCCTGCCACAATTACGAAAACAACATAATCGGAAAAAAATGATTATTTTGCTTTGCTAGGTTGTGACAGTGCACTGCAACATATTTGATCTAATTTATTTATCATATTTATATATGTTTAGTAGCTTGTTGAAGTGCGCTCCCAAATATTTTTTGATCTTGTTTATTGGTATTTATTATTTTGATATTATTTATTTTATTTATTGGTTTTTCAGTTGAATTCTACGTTCAGGGTAATCAACAGTTAAAAAGATACTGTTCAAATTATTATTATATATATTTTTTTTAAAGTTCAATAAATGGATGTTTTCAAAGTCAAAGAATAATCGTATTTAATAATCGTGATATCAATTATTGACCAAAAATAATCGTGATTATGATTTTTGCCATGATCGCACAGTCCTAATAGAAAGCACTGATTCAAGCTTTCTTTCTCTACTGGCAGGACACCCTAGAGTGACAGGATCGTGTTTTCTCCACTGGAAGGCCCCCTAAAGAGCACTGAAATACATTTTCTCCACTGGTAGGGCACCCAAGAAGGCACTGAATAAGTATTGTGGCATTATGTATTATGTGGCAAAACATGAAAGTGTGAAAGCATGCAAAAGTGCTAGGTTGCAAGAAAAACGTGTGGAAAAAATGTAATTATAGGTGAAGGCTTACTGTGTTTATGATTTGATTATAATTGCTTGATTCATCACATGGTTGCAGACTGTAAGAAGAAAGGTGCCAATGACTTGAACACCCAGGCATCTACACATCATGTGGCGCATGGCCTGTGACATTTGAAGATGTAAACACAGGGGAAATGAATGAAATGAATCCCTGTGTAAGCCTTCGACAGAGTTGGAGGAAGAGTCCGCCACACAGCTGGTGGCAGGCATTTTGTCGAGCCAAGGGGGGCCAAAATCTAATCAAAGACTTGGTACATCTGGTCAACATTAGCAATTAGTTCTCCATGGTCAGTGGGTCTACTGTTCACACTAAGGCAGCGAGGTTTGTGCCAGCACATAATGAGATGAGGAGAAATTGTACCTGGGTTTTCCAGTTTTATTCTGCTTTTTGAAATGGAGGAAAAGTTGATTTTGGACATTTGGAAACTACATGTGCTGCACCATCTCACCAACCTAGCTATAATGCTAACTATTCTATGTATATTTGCATAAATATTGCAATATGCAAAAAAGTTTCTTTGAGTCATCAGCAAAAGCAATGTGACCACACTCAGTCCGCCGACACTGTTTGCACGGTGTACAACAAATTATTTAGAGCGGGGGTGTCGCCGTCACGCAGTCAGTGGGGTTTATCTATAAATGAGCAAACAGAAGGGCAGATGAGTCTTTCAGTGCTCGTGGTGAACAGATCACAGTGCCGACGATGTGAATCCAGCTCTCCAGCTGAGCTTTGATTCTGTGCCACTGAAACAAAGCGATGCTCCCCCGTTCAGATCAAGAGACACTTCTATACTTTAGCTGCCAATAAGACACTCATGGAGAGGTTCGCCTCTGACTTAATTGGAGTGGAATTTGCAGTGTGACTTTCAAGTTCTGACAGCTGGAGGAAGACAATGAGCTCAACAGCTGCTCTAAGTCCAAGGCTGATGCTGCCAATTCACTATATGTACAATTTTGCGCGGAGGTGAGTTGGTAAAGCTGCTGTTTCAATAATTTGCCTCACCCAAACACTAACTGTACTCACATTCGGGAAGATTAAGAAGCATAATTCCTGCATCAAGTCATACTGAGAAAGGTACATCTGTGGCTGAATGTACTTATGCACTATGTGTCCATTGTATGAGCCTTGGCCTCCCAGCATCCCCCTCTCCAACACGTACACTGCCTCCCTCACTAGCCCCCTTTCTCGCTCTCACTTTCATCTCCCCTCTCTGGGTGGATAAGGAGCAGCTCTGCCTGCCACTGTGCACTTCCCTCTGAAAGAGCCATTCATCGCTGCCGGCGCAGGGACCTCGGCTCACCTCCTATGCACAGAGGGTTTCAACTTCTCTAACTCCTGGCTTTTGGCAACACGCATTCAACGCAAACATTCTCAAGGTAAAAGCTCTGACACACGCAGAAGGTCAAAGGCTGAAAGGCGGAGAAAGAAAAAACTGCTTTGGATGAAAAACTGACAGACGTTGTCTCAAACCTTGGACCAGGGTTAGGCACATGTGTATTGAGTTTCTTCCAAGAAAAAATAATGTTTCACTACCGTGCAAAGACTGGACAGCACTAGAAATAAAGAAAACATCATGGAGAGTTTTCTCTAACTTTCTGCTCAACTGGTGCAAGTTATAGGGAAAGTTTCTGAAGTTAATTTACTAAGTTTGAGGCATCAGCGTGTCAAGCATTGATTTATGCATTGGGGAAGCGTGCATCTCTCAAAGAGGGGGAGAAAGGGAGAAGGGGGGAACAGGAACCTGACAGAGTGATTTGCAGTGGCACTTACCTCCTAGAGCGGGGCTGGGGAGGCAGAGCAGCAGGGTCAGAAAGGCACCGACCAGGACCGAATGCATGGCTCTCATATTTTCGTGCTGAAAGTTAAGTCCTCCACTCTCACGTTAAAGACACTCCATTCAGAAGGGGACTGAATGAGTTTCCAGTTTTGGGACCTGCTGCAGGATACTCCTCCATGTAAAGGGGCTGGGCTGGGGAGGGACGATGAGAGAGACGCCCTCTTACAAACCCCCCCTCTCTCTCCAGCACACACACAGACTTCTTTAGATGGAAAAATCCAGAGATGGCAAAAGTACACACAACCTTTACTCAAGTAGAAGTACAGATACTGGTGTTTAAAAATAACCTGGTAAAAGTAGAAGTACTGACTAAACTTCTGTACTCAAGTAAAAGTAAAGAAGTATGGGCTTTGAAATGTAATTAAGTAAAAAGTACCCACATCTGTTTTAAAGAGTACCTGACCTCCCTTTATATTAATAGAACAATAATGTCATTGTTAGCTAATGAATGTTTCGATGCTGAACAACGGCAACATGACAACGTTTTCATTGGTCCCTCTTCTTTAGAGAAGACCAGGAAATGATGGATACACGGATCGTGTTCAAATCAACAGGCACGCAATGACTCTAAATAATAATGATCACGCCACCAAACACACATTCAGACTAAAGTGTGTTAAAAATGTAAGAAGTAAAAGTAAAAAGTAGTAAAAATGGTAACACTTTACATTAAGGTACACAAATTAACCATCAACTAGTTGTTAATTAACATGCATATTAGCAGTATATTGGTTCTTTATTAGTCATTATAAAACACTTATTAATGCCTTGTTCTACATGACCATATTATACAAGTAATAAGACATTGTTTGAGAGTTTTTCCTCAATAACCCTCTAATTAGTGCTTAATATAAAGTGTTACCGTAAAAATAAGTAGTGGAGTAAAGTACTGATACNAGCCTGTTTGGAAAATGTAAGTAGAAAGTACAGGTATTTGTGTTCAACATGTAAGAAAGTAAAAAGTCGCAGTGGAGTAAAGTACTGATACCAGAAAGATGTACTTAAGTACAGTAACAAAGTATTTGTACTCCACTACTTCCCACCTCTCAGGGGCGGATCTAGAAAAATGTTCATGGGGTGGCAAGAGGGTGGCAGGAGATTTTGAGGGGTGGCATCCCTGGCAGAAG